CGCTTTGAAAATAGTTCAGAGCCAATCCGTTGCTTTGCTTTACTCGAGCCTTACAGTACACAACTGTCAGGGAATCCTAGTCAGCAACTCAGTTTTAATGAATTTTTTAAAAGAATTCGTCTCTTCTGTTTCAACCTGTCCTCCACTTTCATCGTTCCCCTCATTAGCTAGATCTCAGAAAATGAATGCTGATTAGCCAACATAATTAAAAGCAATTATCCTTCACCCCAACCATGAATTGCAGACATTAACACTAGAATGACTCCAGGCATCCATGGCAACGGTTCAATAACACAGAATTATGCCATAGTAACCCCTCAAGGCATCCCAGCTGAAAAGTCTTCCTCTAACTGCTAGAAATAAGATAAGAGCACTTCATTGGCCACATGCAATTTCTTGCATTAGGAATTTCTCTTTTCACAGAGCACTGCACTGCCCCACAAATACACTAGGTACTGTGTAGCAGAAAGCTTCAGATATCTAATCTAGTGCCTTCTGCCAGAGTCAAGCATAGAAAAAAATAGAAAGAGGAGAGAAACAAGATATGAGTCTGAAAAGAGGCAAAGATCAGAGATTTGGAAAGTCACACTCAAGAACACCATGAGCACTGCCTGAGCCAGATGGACATGTGTGGGTTGGCTCCCTGATAAACCTCACATGTTCTCAACCTCCTCAGCACATGGTTTTAGCTTTTGTGCACGCCTTTCAGTGACATAGTAAGCATCCCATGAATCATACAGGAGAGATACAGCACTGTGCCACTTTTTAGTTTTTTGTTTCTAGTTTTCTCTTCACAGTCTTGATCAAGCAGCTGGGCTGAGCACCACAGCCTGCCTGCAGTAACATATTGACTGGACAAACAGATCCCCTGTTAGCCTGAGTCTTAACTAAACACTGGTGTCTGAGAACATCAATAGCGATAAGCAGGCAAGATAAAAAAGCAGCTTATTCAGCAAGCCTGATCACTGGAAAGTGCTAAAAAGATTTAAGCGACATGAGTCAAGCCTCCTGAGGGAATGGGGCTGAATCAACGAGGAGTCGTGGTCACACATGCCCAGAGCTCTTGTGTGTGTACGGTACGTGA